GCATGCCCCCCAACCCCTAGTTTGCCTCGTGACCTGCGCGGCACTCGGATGCAAATCACACCTCGGCAAGCCAAGGCGTGTGATTTTTCATTCGCCTGCCTTTTTCAAACACAAGGACTGTTGGTCTTAACTTTTTCTTGTAGATGGTTGCCAGAAACAAAATTAGTCTTAACATTGGTCTTAACTTTTTCTTTTAGATCGTTGTCAGAATAGCAAGATTAGTCTTAACATTGGTCTTGACTTTTTCTTTTAGATCGTTGTCAGAATAGCAAGATTAGTCTTAACATTGATAGTGATGTGAACTTTTTCTCTTAGTGCATTAACAATAACACAATAACAAAATCATGTCTATAATTATGTCCTCATGAACGCAGCAAAACCAACCAATGTTAGAGACACGCACCAGAGAGAGGAGGGAGGGAAGGTATGATGTTGCCGGAAACAAAATTAGTCCTTGCATGAACTTTTTCTTGTAGATCGCTGGCAGAAATAGAAAATAAGTCTTTACGTGAACTTCTTCTCTTAGTCCGTTGTCAGAAACAAAATTCTAGTCTTAACACTAGTCTTAACATAGACTTTCTCTCTTTTTCGGTTTGGGGCGGGGCTGCATGCCACCCACCTGTCTCAGGATGTCCCCCAGGTTTGGGGGCGGGGTGCATCTCTATCCACCACCTACCTGTCTCATGCTGTCTTCCAGGTTTTCCGGCTCGAGGACGGGGCTGTGGGTGGGGCTCTGTAAGAACGCTCCCTTCTTCATGTTCTTCAGCACTGTCGGCAGGACGCCGTCGCTGCAAACGCGCGAAACGAGAAAACACAATCACGCGGTCGTCAACGCCGAGCGAAACGGGAGGAGAGGGAGAGGGCGTTGTACAGAGAGAGGAGAGGAAGGAGGAGAGGAGGGAGGAGAGGACGTCGTACAGAGAGAGGAGAGGAGGGAGGAGAGAAGGGAGGAGAGGGCGTCGTACAGAGAGAGGAGAGGAGGGAGAAGAGGCGAGAAGGAAACGTGTGAAACGACGCCCCTCCTCTATGACGGAGGGGGAGGGGTGTCGTAACGACATGGGGAGGGAGAAGAGGAGAGAGTGAATAATGTGAAAGAATGCCCCTTCTCTAAGACAGGGGGGCGTGTCGTACAAGGTGGAAGGGGGAAGGGGAGGGAGGAGAGGCAAGAGGGAAACATGTTAAACTGGGGGGAACACTACTCTACGACTTCCTGCAGGTGCGTTAGATTCTCCGGTCGGCACCCTTTTCCCGGACAACGCCCCTCCGGACGCGGTCTGGCAAGAGAGTGACCGCGGGGCATAACGAGATGGGAATTTGCGTGGATAAAACCCTTGCTCGCGTGGACCGACTGACCCCCTCCAAGCTTCCTTTGCCAGGATAAAGTTCGTCATGGAAACGAAACCAATGAGGCTGCGGCATCCCCACCCTCCACGGAAGTCATCTTCCCCTTCAGTGCGCACCACACACGTCAGGCAGGGAAATTAAGAGAGAAATTAACTTTTGAACAAGGGAGTCCAACAGACTCCATGCCCTCAAAAAAAGGGAGTACGCAGCAAAATGAGGAAGTCCGTAGTCTGAAGTTCAAAATTTATTAGTTATTGTTAAAAGTTGTTAACAATATTAAACGAATGTGCTTATTTTGAAGATTCATGCGGTTGCACGTCTGCCAAATTTTCTTTGGACATTTGCTGAAGAAATACGGTCATTCCGCGAGGCCGTGCTCTGGAATGAACTAGTTAGTATAGGAGAATATTCAGGGACACCGACAATAAATCAGGGAGAATTTGACTCCGGACTCCCGTTAATTTTGCCTACTGTTCCTGTCCCAGTTCGCCTTAATTAGTTCCTGTCAGGGCTCACACGCGGTTCGGCAAGGCCATGATAAAAATATTGTTTGTTTGCCCTCATCCGACCGACCCGCCAAAAAGGGACCGACTGAAAAATTGTTATTGAACTTTTTTTTTTACAAATTGTATCAGTGTACATTATATAAATCTGTAGGCAATACATTATATGTACCAAGCAAAACAAACATTCAACATCAAAGGTATCCACACAAGCACACCCGATCATGTAGACACCATGCTAAATTTGTAAAAAGACCCCCCTAAAAAAAGCCTACCTACCTACCCAAACTTTTCAGCCTGGGTCGGGTGAGGGCAAACAAATATTTTTTTAATTGTGGCCTGTCAGGGCTCACACGCGGTTCGGCAAGGGAGTGACCGCAGGCAGAGATGCCAACACGTATTTGAAGCAATCTGTAGTTTCTGGCCATCAAATTAGTAGTTTGAGGGTCACGTAGTGACCCGAGTTTGCTAGGGGGGTCCGGCATGCCCCCCGGAAAATTTTTTGATTCTGAGGATAAAAAATGACAATAAATTGACAAAAAATGACAATAATTGACAAACAAATTATTTTTTTCGATCACAGTGAAATTCGTAGTTTGATACAAACTGGTCGTAGTGGTGCAAAAGGAATAGAAATTCGTATAAAATATGAATAAATCGTAGTGGTTGGCATCTCTGCGCAGGGCATCGCGCGCACGCTCTCACCCCTCGTGCGGATGTCCGAGACGCGTCCTCAGCTCGTGCACCTCCGTCTCGAGACGCCTCGACTCCTCGTGGTGTCGCTGCCTTTCCTCGCTCAATGCCTCCTCCGCCTCCCGCTGCGCCTCTGCAAGCAGAGAGAAGATGGTGTCGGTGAAGTGGAGGTGCTGGTGAAGCCCTATACCTCCCCCTCTCCCACCTCCTCCTCTCCGCATCTCCGCGGGCTCCTGCCCCACACCTTGTCCCTCTCCCCTCCCTGCCCCTTCCCCATCTCCCCACCCTCCCACCTCCTGCAAACCTGCCAGGCGGCTCGATATTATCCTATTGCTAACTCGCAAAATGGGTGTCATATTTGAGAAATGCGAGTAGAAAATATAAGCACTTTGCTTATTTTTCTGCGAGTTGGAAATTTATTGCGTTTTACACCGCATTACCATCACTGTCTAGTCCACGCGGAAAGATATATTTTGCTAATTAATTGTCAAACTAGGTCGGTCAAATTGCCTAAACAAGTTTCAATTCGCCGTTATTCACCATATGAACAGGATAGAAGGATTTCGGGATTAGAGAGATATGAGGACGGATAGCTCCAAAGGATGGGGGATGGGAGGATATGAACAGGATAGAAGGATGGATAGAAGATATGCAGACAGTATAGATAGGATTGGGACTGGACGGATGATGCAGACAGGCATAGAAGGGATGGGGTGGAGGATATGACGAAGGATAGAAGACGATGGCGCATGAGATAAGATATGAGACAGGATAGAGAAGGATGGGGTATGCGAAGGATATTGAGACAGGATAGAAGCGATTGGCGTAGCGAGGTATGGAGACAGGATAGCGAAGGATGGCGATGGGGATATCGAGTAAGGATAGAAGAGCGGATTTACGCCCAAGATCACGGAGGAATAGTGAAAAGCAGCCGATAGAGAAGTATGGCCGCCACCTGGAGGACACTGAGACAGCAGATCAGAACTGGAATGGAGGTGAGAGACTCGATGGAGGACAGGAATCCTATGTCATCGAAGGATGGTGGGGCTCATGAGACAGGATAGGAAGGATGGGATAAAAATATTAGACAGGTGAAGGATGGGATAAGAAGGATTGAGGGACAGGATAGAAGGATGGCGATGGAGGATATGAGACAGCGATAGAACGGATGGCGTGGGGGATATGAGACAGGATGAAGGATGGAGATGCGTAAGATATGAGGACATGGATAGAAGGATGGGATGGAGGATATGAGACAGGATAGTAAGGATCGGGCATGGAGGATAATTGAGACAGCCGTAGATAGGATGGGATGGAGGATATGAGTAAGGAAATAGAAGGATTTCGGGGATAGAAAGAATATTCGAGACAGGATTAGAAGGATGGGTGTGGAGGACATAGAGACAGGATAGAGAAGGATGGGATGGATGATATGAGACAGGATAGAAGGACTGGCGATAAGAAGATATGAGACAGGATAGCAAGGCATGGGATGGAGGATATTGAGACAGGCATAGAAGGATGGGGTGGAGGATATGAGACAGGATGAAGGATGGTCCGATGGAAGATATGAACAGGATAGAAGGATGGGCATGGAGGATATGAGGACAGGATAGAAGGATGGGATGGAGGGATATGAGGACAGGATAGAAGGATGGGCATGGGAAGGATATGAGTAAGGATAGAAGGATTCGGGACTAGTAGAATATGAGACAGGCATAGAAGGATGGGGTGGGAGGATCATGAGACAGGATAGAAGGATGGGTGGAGGATATGAGACCTGAGAGCAGGATAGAGAGGATGGGATGGAGGATATGAGACAGCGATTAGAAGGATGGGGATGGAGGATATGAGACAGGATAGAGACTGGATGAGGAGGATTATTGAGGACAGGATAGGAAGGATGGGATGGAGATATGAGACAGGATAGTAAGGATGGGATGGAGGGAATATGAGTGAAGGATAGAAGGATTTCGACTAGAGAATATAGACAGGATAGAGGATGTGCGGGGTGGAGGACATGAGACAGGAATAGAATGGGATGGCGATGTAGAGGATATGAGACAGGGCATAGAAGGATGGGCGATGGAGGATATTGAGAACAGATAGCAAGGATGGGATGGAGGATATGAGACAGGGATAGTCTCAGGATGCGATGGAGGATATGAGACAGGATAGAAGATGGCCGTGCGCCGGATATGAGACAAGATAGAATGATGGGATGGAGGATATTGAGACAAGATAGGCATGGGATGGAGGATATGAGACAGGGATAGAAGGATTGGGATGAGGATATGAACAGGATAGAGGATGCTGGATGGAGGGGATAGAAGGATGCGGATGGAAGGATGGGATAGGAGGCATATGAGGACAGGATTAGTAAGGATGGGATGGAAGCTAATGCAGACAGGGATAGTAAGGATGGGGATCGGAAGATATGAGACAGGCAATAGAAGGATGGATGGAGGATATGAGCACAGGATAAAGGATGGGATGGAAAGGATATGGAGACAGCCGCACTTCGCACACGGACTGGAGATGGAGGATATGAGGACGGATAGAAACGGATTGGGATGGAGGATATGAGACAGGATAGAAGGATGGGATGGAGGATATGAGCACAGGATAGTAAGGAGCGTCACGGGATCGAGCCAAGATCATGATGAGTCATAGTGCACACGCACGGACGCGTAGACAACAAGTGGACTGAGACCAGCACACACACACACACTCGGACGAGCTGCAAGTGGCACGCGCACAGAGGCAGCGAATGCGCGCGCGCGCGAAGGATGAGACCATGCGAGGACGAGTCTTCGAGACAACGAGCGACAATACAGGTAACGGACTAGCAGCACATGACTCGCGCACGCGCGTAAGACGGACTACTCATAGACACACTACGCACACACGCACCACAGCACACATACGCAAACGCGTACAGATATGGCGACCTCGCGCACGATATGAAGAACAAGGATAGAAGGATGGCCAATCGGCGAGGATATGGAGACAGGATAGAAGGATGGAGGAGGATATGATACAGGATAGAAGGATGGGATAGAGGATATGTAGGACAGGATTAGAAGGATGGGATGGAGGATATGATAGACAGGATACGCAGATTGCGGATGGAGGATATGAGGACAGGATAGATTGGGATGGGGATGGAGGATATGGAGACAGGATAGAAGTCGATGGAGAAATGGAGGAATATGAGACAGGATAGGAAGGATTGGGGCATGGAGGGATATGAGACAGCGATAGAAGTATGGGATGCGAGGATATGAGACAGGATAGAAGGAGCGTGCGGATGGGAGGATATGAAGACAGTATAGAATGGATGGGACTGCGAGGATATGAGACCCAGGCATAGGATGGTGATGGGGATGGAAGGAATATGAGACAGGACTTTAGAAGGATGTTGATAGAGGATATGGTGAGTGACAGGATCGAAGGTGAGGATTGGCGATCATGAGAGCAGGATAGCGAAGGATGCGTGATGCGAGGATATGAGACAGGATAGATGAATTGGATGGCACGGATATGAGACAGAAATGATAGAAGGATGGCGATGGAGGCATATGAGACAGGATAGTCAAGGATCTGGGATGAGAGGGATTTATGAGACAGGATAGAACGGATCTGGCGCGGCGCTCTGAGACACGGATTAGAGCGATGGGATGGAGGATATGAGACAGGATTAGATGGATGGATGGGAGGATATGAGACAGTGGTCTAGAAGGATGGGATGGAGGATATGAGACAGGATAGATGGATGGGATGTTGAGGATATGAGGGACAGATTTAGCAAGGATGGGATGAGGATATGAGACAGGATAGAAACGCGCATTGGGTGGAGGATATGAGACAGGATAGAAGGATGCGGATGGAGGATAGAAGGATGGATAGAAGGATGGGATGCGCGGCTCATTGAGACAGGTGCATCGATAGAAGGATGTGGTGGTGGAAGATATGAGAACAGGATAGAAGGATGGGATGGAGGAATATAGACAGGAATAGAGGCAATGGGATGCGAGCGCTACTTGAGGACAGGAAATAGAAGAAAGATGGGATGGGAAGGATATGAGACAGGATAGAAGGATGGGCACTCGCGAATGGATACATGAGGACGGCCACTCTACGCAAGGACTGGGATGGAGGATATCAGACAGCGATTAGCAAAGGCATGCCGGTGGAGGATCATGAGACAGGATAGAATGATGGTGTATGGGAGGATATGAGCAGGCATAGAGGATGGGATGGAGGATATGAGACAGATAGAAAGGATGGGGTGTGAGGATATGAGACAGGATAGATATGTATGCGGAGGCAGGATAAGAAGGATGGGTATGGGAGGATATGAGACTAGCGATAGGAAGGATGGGAGGAGGGTATGAGACAGCGAGTTAGCGTCCATGGATGGGATGGAGGATATGGGAGACGGATAGAAGGATGGGATGGAGTATAATGAGACCAGGATAGATGGATGGAATGGAGGTATGGAGACAGGATAGAAGGATGCGGGTGCGAGGATATGAGGGCCAGCGATAGAAGCGATGGGTGGATGGGATATGAGACAGGAGTAGAAGTGATGGCGATGGAAGATTATGGAGCAGGATAGAATGGAGTGGAGATGAGAGATGATGAGACAGGATAGAAGGATGGGATGGAGATATGAGGACAGGATAGACGGATGGGATGGGAGGATTATGAGACAGGATAGATGGATGGAATGCGAGGCGATATTAGACAGATAGAATGACTGGGATGGAGCGATTATTGAGACAGGATAGAAGGATGGGATGTCGCGGGATATGAACTGGATAGAAGGATTTGGGATGGAGATATGAGACAGGATAGATGGATGGAATGGAGGATATGATGACACGGATAGAAGGATGGGATGGAGGATAGATTGAGACAGGATAGAAGGATGGGAAATGGAGCGGATACGAGACAGGATACGAAAGATGGTATCGGTGAGGATATGAGAACGACGATAGGAAGGATGGGATGGGAGGATGATGAGACAGGATTAGATTGATGGGATGGAGGATTATGAGACAGGATAGAAGGATGGGGATGGATGGATCATGAGACAGTGATAGGAGGATGGGGGTGCGAGGATACCCAGACACGGATAGAAGGATCGGGATGGCAGGATATGAGGACAGCGATAGGAAGGATGGGATGGAGGTAATATTCAGGATAGAAAGGATGGGATGGAGGATATGAGACAAGCGATAGCAAAGGATGGGTGGAGGATATGAGGACAGCCCCCGATAGACAGAGATGGGTGGATGGAGATATGAGACAGGATAGAAGGAATGGAATGGAGGATATGAGACAGAATAGAAGGATTTGTGATGGAGAAAAGAGGCAGGATAGGAGGCCACGTAAGTAATCTCAGATTTAGGGGGGGATAGGATAGGAACAGATAGAATAGGATCATGGATGAAGGATAAGGTGCATGATAGGGGAATAGGTGTAGCGAGCAAGCTATGAGGCCACAGCGTAGGGAGAATTTAGGCGTAGGAGGCCAGGATAGTGGAGCTCCTCCTGAGGGTAGGAGCGAGTCTAGGAGGCGCGTAAGGAGAATAGGGTAGGAGCGAGGCTACGAGGCAGGCTAGGATATGGAATAGAAGGACAAGGTACAGGATAGGAGAATAGGGTAGGAGCGAGGCTACGAGGCAGCGTAGGAGAATAGGGTAGGAGGCAGGATAGGATATGGAATAGAAGGATAAGGTACAGGATAGGAGAATAGGGTAGGAGCGAGGCTACGAGGCAGCGTAGGAGAATAGGGTAGGAGGCAGGATAGGATATGGGATAGAAGGAGAAGGTGCAGGATAGGAGAATAGGGTAGGAGCGAGGCTACGAGGCAGCGTAGGAGAATAGGGTAGGAGGCAGGATAGGAGAATAGGGTAGGAGCGAGGCTAGGAGGCAGCGTAGGAGAATAGGGTAGGAGGCAAAATAGGATATGGGATAGAAGGAGAAGGTGCAGGATAGGAGAATAGGTGACCTGACACGCCATACCACAACCGCGTTTCACCATACCTTGCATGATATGTTGCACGGTCGCTAGCTCCTCACCACACTTGCGATTCATGTCCCCAATCTCATCCTGTGTCATGGTCTCCGTGATCGTCACCTGAAATCGCGTCATCAATAACCACGATGGAATTCCAATGCTCGGAATTGAATTTCGACGAATGGAGTTCAATTCCGACGCGTAGGATCGAATTCTGACACGCGGGACTTGAATTTTGGCGAGCAGGATTGGATTCCGACAGCCGGGGGTTTATTCCGATGCCCGGGATTTTTTTAATTTAAAAGCATGAAACGAATTTCGATACGTAAAATTTGAAATGCGATGAGCAGGATTAGATTCCAATATGTGGGATTGAATTCCAATGGGTCGGATTTGAATTCCGACGAGCAGTATTAAATTCCGATATGTGGGACTAAACTTCGATGGACGGGATTTGAATTCCAATATGCGGGATTGAATCTCGACGAACAGGATTGAATTTCAAAGGCATAGGATAGTAACTTTTCTCAGTCCCACAATAATACTAATCATAGATCGACGATATTTTTCGACATCTGGTCCTCCGTTCCGACCTCCGTTTCTCTCACCGGAACGATCTCCTTGGCCCACATTTGCCAGCTTTGAACGAAATCCATAAATGCGTCCGGCCATAACCGCACCTGCCACGCAGTGCGCTGCATAATGAACTGTGAGTTGCACCAACGGAATTCGCCGAAACAGGCGAAAAACAAATAAGGATTTGCCGTGAGAGGGCAAACACACCGCGCCAGTTAAACTGCCGAAAACTACCCGAGACGAGGGAGGGGAGTGGAGGAGGGAGGGGAGTGGAGGAGGGAGGGGAGTGGAGGAGGGAGTTGTACAAACATGCAAACATGCAGAGCAAACGAGTCACTCACTCGCCCCGCACAAAACATCAGTAAGTTAACGTGATAAATGCAATTATACAGTCAGTCATGCATATGTACGCACACACGCACGCACGCGCGCGCATGCATACACACACACACACACACCTACGCACACACACACACACACACATCATCAAGATACGCGATGAAATGAGACTAGCAGATTCGAAATGTGACGGTCGCCATGGCAACTCTTCCCTCACAGCGACGTGATATCCCCTAACGCTGACCCTGACCCTATCCCTATCCCTAACTCTATCTCTATCCCTCACCCTCACGCTTACCCTGACCCTAACCGTAACTTTAACCCTATCCCTAACCCTAACGCTTACCCTAACTCTAACTTTAAGCCTGACCATAAATCTAACCCTAAACCTGACCCCAACCCTAACCCTGGGCCTAACCCTAGCCATACCAGTAACCTCAATCCTGACCCTAACCTTGACCCCGACCCTGACCTGAGTCTTGAGGTCGTCGATCGTGTTCTGGTAGAGTCGTAGCTGTTCCCGCAGCGCCGCCATCTCCGTCTCGTTTCGCTCCGTCCTATCCCTCGACACCGCCAGCTCCTCTGCAACAACCAATCACGGGCCGCGCGTCACGTCACGTGACTCCGGGTTCGACACGCGGCTCTCGCGACGCATTTTTTTTATCGGGGGTTTAATGAAGGCCTTGATAACGACGAGGTGCGTGTCGCCGGAAAGAAAATGTACTCTTAACATTTAGTTGTTGACAGTACTCATAACAGTTAGGTTTGACCTTGATTTTTTTTTATCGTAGACCGATGACAGAAACAAAATTAGTCCTACTGTTAGTCATAACATTAAATTTTTATCGTAGACCGTCGTCACAAAAAAATTTGTCTTAACATTATTAGTCTCAACATCGAATTTTATCGTGGACCGTTGACAGACATTTTGTTTTGTAAAGATTTGATTGAAATTTGGTAGGATTTCTCTTTCTCGTAACTTGACGATGTTTCTGTCTACAGTCTAAGAGGAAACGATAATAATATTAAGATTAAATCTGTTTCTGGCAATGGGGTTTGCAGTACTTAGCATTTGCGGTTGAATTCAACTTTGCTTTTCTACTATGCAGCACTCTTGCTACGTGGCAAACAACACACGCAGACTATGACAACGTGCCACCACAAATGTTCCGCGCGTTTTTGCGCAAATAAATTCACAAAGAGGAGAACGTTTGCAAAAACTGCACGCATGCTCTTAAAAGCAATAACTAGTCTAGTACTGACAAGTACCGGCAAAACGCAATGCAATGATGCGATCCCGAAAGAGCGCAAGCACGGAACACAATACAGCGTATCTACATAAAAACAGTTCCGCTGTTTCGTGCGATGTTTTCGATTGCAAACAAGTAAAATTCGCGCAAATGCCATCTGGGGAAGAATTCCCTACAGATGCGTGATGAGGTAACGTGAGAGACGTAAAGAAAATCGGACACGGCCATCCCACGAGAAAACTACCGTAGAGAAAATGTATGATGTGCATCATGCATGACGGCATCGTGAGAAAAAACTGGCGAGGAAAATGTTCTTGCTCGTTTCGCACGCTCTATGTCGGGTCGACACTTCGAGCGAACGAATGCGTTCGTGTGAAGTCGTATAACCGGATACACGCAGATACTTTCTTATTACATGAACAGACAGCAGATAGCTGTACCGTACCGCACCGTGCCGTGACGTGCTGTGTGATTCATGCATGTAGCTACCTTTTTGTTTCATGAACGCACAACAGAAAGCTGCGCAATGCCACACTGTGCCGCGTCGCATTATTGCATGCATGTAGCTACCTTCTTATTTCATGAACACACAACAGAAAGTCATAATGTAACACACTGTGCAATTGCATGCACGTAAATACATTCTTGTTTCATGAACATGTCGCAAAAAGCAGCGTAACGCCGCGCCGCGCTATTGCATGCTACCTTCTTGTTTCATGAACATGTCGCGGAAAGCAGCGCGCTTATGACCGAACTCGGCCTCCTGCTCCTGCTGTCGCTGCTGCAGCTCATCGTTGTTCTTCTCTAGGCTCTGCATCCGCGTCTGCACCGCCTCCAGAGTAAAGCTAGACATCTGGTCTGCGCAGGCGAATCAAAGAGAACCTGACTGACATTCGATAGAACCGAGGCCATAATAAAAATATTCCTTCCAGAACTCCTTCCAGAGTACGATAATACTCTGCAGGGACATACGTCTCTGTACATAGAGTCAGCTACTCCTCCCAAAGTACAATAATACTCTGCAGGGACGCATGTCTCTGTACATAGAGTTAGCTAGTCCTTCTAGAGTATGATAGCACTATGTATGGATCCAAGTCTCTGTACATAGATGGAAGCACCTGCCAGAGTACCACGAGGCTTTCACAGAGACAAAATTCTTTGCAAAATAGAATTGTACAATGCCAATGGCAACAATTGACCTAATGCTAATCTCTACCTACCAGCTTTTGTAAATCTCATAGAGAAAGAATTAACTGGAAAACCACCAAACTAATGCCTCTGAAGAGCCACTTGAAACTCTTTTAAAGCAATGCAAATATTAAAGTACGTAATACTAGGTTTTATTGGTGAGGTCACATGGGTAGTTGACCTCACTGACATAAGACCTGTAATTTGTGTACTGACAATGTTTCAACCTGCAGCAAACACACAACTGCCTCTTGCGTAAACGGTAAATACCTTCACGATATGATATCAGATGTATATTATCAATCATATTATCTTATCTGTTATCTATTTAGATTTCATCAAATTTAAACACACTAAAATACTGCAACTATGCACTATGTTGAGTGGAAGATGACTGAGTCTGTACATACGTGGCATAGGTTATTTTTTATGCAGTGCACTTTCCTTCTAAGCCCAGTGTACATGCACATAAACGGCGCCCCATCGACATTGTGGGAAAAATGACCAAGAAAGTTACTGTACCTGTATTCTAGCTGTAAATGATTATTTGTACATTGACTCAGCTCTAGCATACATTATCTATTACTGGTGGTCAGTACGGGAAAAGATAGAAAAGTGCTCTGTAATAGCATGTGTCGTAAATGAATTTGGGGGGGGGGGCAGAGTGCGCTGTTGTCAGAGGTGAACCGAGTAATTCGACAATTAACTAATTATAACTCAGTCAGTGTTGTGTAGCATTTGTACGACCTTACTTTTTCGCAGAGAAGTGCTTTCTGTGGCGGTTTCCTTCTAGCGAGGAATAACACCTAATGACTGAACGATTGGGTTTTTTATTGTCATGTGGCGAACAGCTCTGCTTGTGAATATCCTATCTTATTCTACAGTCAGGGTATGAGTTAGTGTTTAGGTTAGGTATGCATATTAATTACCTAGCTCGATCGCGTGTATAACAAATGTAAATAAAACTTGTTCATTTTCAAAGTGGAGGAGGAGGGTGTGACAGCTTAGAAATTGACCTGACAAATATGGGATGCAACCCAGATCACTGATTAGCTGAAGTAAGAAGGGACGAGACGAATCGTCCTGGTCTCAATCGAACACAATAATTGATTATCGTAACGTTACAAATTGGCCGAACGACTGTCACGCGTTCGAATTGAGCAAATGACATATGCGAATTTCCGATTATTTCCACAAGAATTGTGTGCCAGGTAGGTGTTTTACTGTTTATCATCACGCTGTAAATTCCACCCGTCGTGATTTGCTGCGAATGCTGGTGTTTTAGACACGTTATAATTCAATATAATTACCGTCGTCCTCGAGTCCATCCTCTTTACTAGTGGTTTCCATTAAAAAATGTCAGATAAGCTTAATTTTGAACAACAATTACAAATAAATCAGTGATAAACAATCATCTTTTGCGTAGAGCACCACTACTTTTACCAATGTTGCGCACTTGCTTGTAGATGGCGCGTCATTCGCCGCTGGATTTGCAACTAAATTTGTGTTTACAACTAGAATAATATTATATATTTCTAGATTAGATCAGTAACCGGCCAAGTTCAATAACATATAAGTCAGTATTTCGCATGGGTAGAGTAGGCCTAGCTAATTCTTACACAGTCGTAACAGAGAAATCAGTACATCATGTACGTTTCACACCGACACGACCCAGGCCATGGCATACGGCTGGCACTGCAACGTCTAATTGAACTTGTCAAACTCAGTCATAGTCATATTCATACTCAGCCTTATACTCATAGTCATACTACTACTAGTACTACTACTAGTCATACTATAACTCGAGTCATTATGTTTTTGTTGCAGAAGGAGTTATGAAAAGTAGCTTGTGGTGTGACGATGAGGATGATGTTAGATCTAACTCTGCCTTGGGAAAGAAGTGTAAAGACAGCTTTCCATTAGTGAAGAGCATCGACGCGTTTCCAAAAGCACGGGATGCTTCCAGCAAGGTAATGGTTGTAAACGGTTCTTGTACGAATGTGGAATAGGTGAGTGGTGTATGTGTGCACGTGTGTAATGTGTGTGTGTGTGTGCGCGTGTGTGTGTGCATGCGTGTGTGCGCGTGCGTGCGTGAGTAAGTGCGTGTGTGCGCGTGTGCGTGTGCGCGCGTGCGTGTGTGAGTAAGTGCGTGTGTGCTCGTGCGTGTGTGTACACTGTCACACACCCACGCACTGACACATAATTGAAAACATAGGTAGGTATTATGTAGTCCCTTCACGAATCTAATATCGTAAGTTCACATAATTGCAGAAAGCGCAGGGATGGGTGAGCCCATCCTTTGGTGACTTTAGAACTGACGCACAGTCTAGCGTCAGTAGAAAGCGATCCAGAGATGGCAACAGGAAGACCGATCACAAGTCTATTACCGTTGGCAGAAGGGATGTTGACGACACCATGCTTTGGTCAGATAAGTACAAGCCCACTAATAAGGTACGGCTTAGTTACAAGTCTTGCAAATTCTACATTTGATATTTTCTGTTGGTAGAGCAACATAGGACTTACTTCTCATATCAAGGTGTAGCACAGGCGTATTAGCCGAAATAAGTGTAGGGATAATAATCATGATATTTTTTATCATTATCAATCATTAAATTTTTTACACACGATATATAATTTATAGTATTTTAACGCCTTTACACTGTTGCATTTGTCCGATTTTTCTCGATAAAAAAGACTATATTTAGTGCGTGTACCTGTATTTAAATTATATATGCAATAAAGATTTGATAATAATAATAATAACAATAATAATAATAATACTATTATTATTACTGTGTCGTTGTGATACTTCAGGACGACCTGGCTGTTCATAAGAAGAAAGTTGCAGAAGTGGAAGATTGGTTGCTTCAGCAATTCGGGCATGCGTCTAGAAAGGTGGGTTCACGAGTTCATACGTTGTCGTAGATGCCAAGACACACGCTAACTACTTCTAGACACCAAATTGTTTAACTAGTCACAAAGAAACTATTGAGTCACAGTACCCATGGAACCGGACAAGTAGCGGACCACAGAATTCACCCTCTAAGAACCATCTTTGTAAACATAAACCTAACCCCCATGCTTGCCAGATCACTTTATGTGCATACGGCTGCGTTATGAAAGGTAAAATGAAGCTTAAAACAGGGAAATATAAATGCAATCGCTAATACTTATACTACTAGAAAACATTTTCACAGTTTCACATACACGTAATGTAAAGTTTTACGGACAGAATAACTTGTTTGACCAAGTTTTTAAGGGCGCGCGAATCAAGCAGTGTGCAGTAATTGCGCAGAGCTACAGTTGGAACTCCTTCATCTGGCCTTTCTCGTCGCCATGCAAATCTTGTTGCGTTTATTAATTACGCGCACATTTTATCCCATCTGTTAAGCTTTACATAACGTGTACGCGAAACTGTGAAAATGTTTTCTAGTCGTTTGCATTCATATTTCCCTGTTTTAAGATTCTTTTTACATGAAATGAGTACGTGTACGTGAAACGTTAAAAACCTTTTCTGGTCCTCTGTGCTCGCACGCGGCATTCTGTGGGGGTCGAAATGATCACTAACGTTTTGAATTTTTCCTTCTCTGTTTTCTCCTCCCAACTGCTTGCAGGGGGTTAGACATGGGCCGACGACCCCATTCTGTAAACAACACGTTGTTACGGAAACCAAATAATAAAAATTAATAGAATATCCCAAATAGTGGATCCAAATGTAGGCCCTAGTCAGTCAAATGGCCCTATATGATTACGGCCTCATGTCCCATCGGGGGACCAAGAGGATAAGTAAGTTTTGAATTTTTCCTCGGATTTTCCGTCTCGGTGGCGAGCAGGGAGCAGGAATACTCCTGCTGGCTGGTCCGGCGGGAGCCGGGAAGTCGACGAGTGTGCGTCTGCTAGCGTCCGAACTCCGGATGGAGGTCCAGGAGTGGATCAATCCGCCGACGTCAACGTATCGGCCCGAGTGGACGCCGCATTCGTCCGGTACGAGATTATGGTTTGAACGTGAGATTAATCCAAAACACTCACTGTTGTGACAAAACTTTTTTACTGTGGTTTCAACGACCTCTATGCAACAATCGGAGAATGATTGGACTCTGTGTGTGTCCTCCGTGGAAACCCTCAGATAAACAGAGCAAACAGTTAGGCAGATATGACGTAACTCTCGTAAAAATCGTCGTCTTTGTCGTTGTTGTTTTGAAGATAGTCGTCTTTTTCAGAAGTAAAACTAGTCGATGTGTTATTTAAAATGTTTATTTTCGCGACGCTGGTGATCGACGACCGCTTTTTCCCGTGTTTTCCGCAGACTTCACGGAGTATGGCGAATCGCAGGCGACGCAGTTTCGTGAGTTTCTGCTACGAGCCAACAAGTACCCGGCTCTACAAATGCTGGGCAGTGTGGCGAGTGAAAGAAAAATCGTACTAGTGGAGGTAACAACGAAATAAAAGCGACAATCGTGAAAATGTTAAGATCCATTAAAAAAAATTATGACAATATATAAAATAAATAAAATAAACTAGCTTAGAATTTAGTTCTGTTTTTGGCTGGTATTTAATAGCTTTTATCTATGTGTGTTTGCATTATAAATAAATTTTCTGTTGCTAGCTGCCATTAATTATTGCAATTAAAGTGGTAATGTTTAATTGGTTACATAACTATTTGCAGGATTTCCCAAATGCTTTCTTCAGAGATAGTTCAAATTTTCACAGAATACTCAGGTAACATATAAACCCACTGAATCCTTCATCCCCCATCTTGATATTTATTATCTATTTATTAAATCTTCATTGCATATAATTCAAATGCAAGTAGATGTACTGAAAACGATCTTTTATATCGAGAAAAAAATCTTATGGCCGCATAATCTGATAAAAAGTAAAGATAATAGTTGAGTAAAATTGTACTTCATATTTATTATTCTGTTCTAAGGCTGGTTGCTAAGGAATACATTCAGAAACCTGCTTTCACTTCTTACATTCCAGCGGCCATTTTCGCCATAGTTATATTTGAGCATCTTCGACTAAAAAACATCCACATCCACACACGAATCTACGGTTATTCGATTATGCTGTTCAATCCGTCGACTTCACTCCCACTTTTTTCATTCTTGTTTCAAGCAAGTACGGCAGCACGGCGCAGAGTCCCCTGGTGTTCATCGTCAGCGACAGTCAGGGCGGAGAGTCGAACGTACAGAAGCTGTTTCCGCGAAACGCTCAGGCCGACCTTGGCATCCACTGCATCAGGTGAGACGGTTGCCGTGACGATCGGGCGGGACGAAAACGAAAGTTAGTCCCAAACTCGAAAAAAATTCCCAAAATTTTTTACGTTTTTACTCGTCCCTCGCCACTGGGTTAAACCTGAAAAAAAACCAAACATAATTCAACAACAACAACAAAAATTCGACGACAAAAAAAATAGAAAAAATTCGACGTCTTTTTTTTACGCGTCCCTCGCCCTCATTTTCCAGCTTCAACCCTGTGGCGGCGACGTCCATGCTAAAGGTGCTGGCGCGTGTCGCCGCGGAGGAGGCGGCACAGGGTAGACACGACTTCCCCGCGCCGAGTGCGGACGTGATGTCGGCGCTGGCGGACGGAAGTTCGGGCGATCTCAGAGGCGCCCTCAATGCGCTGCAGTTTGCCTGCTTGCGAGGTAACGTTGTAGGTTATGTGGCTTGTGAGATGTCTTATGTGGAAGCTACGTCTTCGCGTGTTTTTTAATGGTGGTGGCTTGCGAGGTAACGTTGTAGGTTATGTGGATTAACACGAGATAACAGTGAATCGTACGTGGAAGTAACTACGTCTTCATGTTTTTTTTTAATGGTGGAAGTCGCATGCATACGGCCGACACGCAGATCCTTACCAGATACTCCCCTCCACGCTTCTCATGCAGTACTAACGTTGTATATGTTACACGAAAGCTACATCTTCACATTTGTTTTTCAAATGTTTTAATGCATTACACGTTGATGTCTCATCAAACGCAATCGCGGCGAAAATTCTTGAGAGTTTCGGAGAAATTCGAGGAGTGAATTCTCGTTATTCTGTTCATCTGTTCACGTGTCTGTTTGCGCACCATTTCACGTTTCTTCGCAGAGACTGCTGTATCCAGGGCTGTATTTTATCGATAAATTATGTCACGTTTACGGTTTTTATCACTATTAAACGAAATGAGAAATTAGTATCTCACTTCATTCGTAATCTGACGCCACTCTCGCGACGGTAACCGCGGCAACGCCGCCGCTGTCCCCACAGACACGTGCGACCTGGCAGGGGGCGCCGGCGATGGCAGCGGACGCCGCACGGAGCCGAGCAGACGCGCCGCGAAGTCTCGGACGGCGGGGAGGAGGAGGAGGAAAGAGGCGGTTCGCGCAGTAGGAGGAGGCGAGGAGGAGGCGGAGGCGGGGGGAAGCATAGGATGCCGAGACACGACGCTGTTCCTCTTCCGCGCGCTGGGGAAGGTTCTCTACTGCAAACGTAAGCTTTCTCACGCACACACTCTTTCTTTGTTTCTTTCGTAGTCTCTCTCTCTCTTATTCTTTTTTTCTTTCTCTTTCTGTGTCTGTATCTCTCTCTCTCTCTCTCTCTCTTTCTGTCTCTCGCTCTATGTCCATCTCTCTCTTGTTCTCTCTCTCTCTCTTTCTCCCACCCCCCTCTCTCTTTCTCCCACCCCCTCTCTCTCTTTCTTCCACCCCTCTCTCTCTTTTCTTTTTCTCTCTACAAGAATGATCTGATTCATATAGTAATGAGGATTATTAGTGATGCGAAAAGCATCTTTTTGTCGTCTTTACTTATTGCGAAAACAGTTCATTCTAATGTTAATATTTTATGAGGATATGTGCTTGCAGAATATGTGAGTCCATAAATGTAATGTGTTGCACAGGTGAGCCACCAGATGGAGACACAGAACAGGAAGTGCTCCCGCCACACTTGGCGCATCACGCGCGCCGCAGGCTGCAGTGTGTGCCCGAGGTATGATGTCACTTCCTGCTGTAGCTTGCAGCTGAGTTTAGCCGTAATCGTGAGAAACCAAGATTTATAGTAAATTTATAGTATTTCTCCTCGCATAGGATTTCTATAGTATTTAT